GATTGCGATACGGTTTCATATGATTTCGGGATCATATAGGGGCCTCTTGGGGGCTCCTTATTATAATTATAGTTTTATACACCCCGCAACCCCATTCCAAGTATTATGGCCCCTGCATTAGACGGGCTTCGGGGTCTAGGGCTTGCGATTTACGGGCCTGGTTTCGATGGTTTGGGGCTGAAGGCTTTCGGGTGTGGCATTTAGGGCCTGGGGTTTAAGAAAGGGTTCAAGGGTTAGGGATCGGGGTATAGGTTTTAGAGTTTAAGGTTTTAAAGGTTTACGGGTCTTTGGGTTGAAGGGTTTAAGGGTTAAGGGTTCACGGTTTAGGGTTTCGGGTTTAGGGTTTAGAGTTTAGGGTTTAGGGTTTAGGGTTTAGGGTTTAGGGTTTAGGGTTTAGGGTTGAGGGTTAAGGGTTCAGTGTCTGACTCGAAGGACCTGCGGGTACTTGGAGCTCCAAACACGTAGTTTGCCTTAACGGAGAGTTTTTGGAGACTGGGTGGCGATGACTACGCAAGTATACTTGCATCTGCCTAGAGCCTCAATGAAGGTGTCTACTGTTTTCGCTCCAAATTTTGGCATGTCTTCTGTGTTGCAGGCGTCGGGGTCGAGGTTTCTGTTGAATTTGGGAGCATGTGGTTGCACATGTTCTGCGATCTTTTGTGTGTAGCAGGTTGGGTTTAGGGATTTTGAGGCTGTCTACAAAGTGCTGAAGAAGAAGCGTACCCACATGGCAATAGTGTGATCGGAAAGACGTCCGGAGCTTCTTTGGCAGGCGTGTCCAAGCTGTTCGGCAGTTTTCATGGGATGGGATCTGCCGTCTCACAGTTGATGGCGGATGCGAGCAGGGTTTGTTGTGACGAGAAACTTTTCCCTAAACCCTAAACCCTAAACCCGATCGGAGGGCATAGCTCTTGCGGTAGGGGCAACTGTCCATCGTGCCGGATAGGGAGATTTTCGTAGTTGGTTGGCGATTGGCGAAGAAGTCGGAGACCGGCCCGGTTGTTGAAGGCTTCACGTCCGAGCAATTAAGGAAGAGTGTTATGGTCCCAAAATCCTGGCCTTATGTTAGATCAAGGATTTGGGTTGGTAGATTACCGCGCCAAGCAACCTTGAGCGCTGTACCTTCAACCCAGGGCCCATACAGCAAGCTTTGTACCAGCCCTTTCGCTGACCCTTGTGCAAGCCCTCTCATATGGGAGTTTCCGAAAATAAGGGGTACCTTACTTTGGGGTCATTATAATGGATCACATCATTTAGGGTACTATATTCAGGTCCCCTATTTTCGGAAACCCCCATATGAGCCGTTTGTAAGACCTTGCACCCTTCATCCTCATCCTTGAAGCCTAAACCCGAGACCCCCCGAGATCTGCCAGCTCCAACGTCAATTCACGCAGCAAATAATTCCAGAACCCTTGGAACGGATGAAGGGCCCTAAACCCTAAACCCTAAACCGTTTAAGGGTTTAGGGGTTTAGGGGTTTAGTGTTTGGGCAATCCGGGCTTCAGGGTTCTAGGGTCTTGTGGTTTTGGTTTTAGGCTGAGGGCTTGAAAGTAATGTAGGACCTTGACTAAGAAACCCTGGGTCTTGATCAGGGTTCTGTATATGAGTCCTACTATTTCGGTGTTATGGGGCCAGGGTTTCTTAATCAGGTCCCTAAACCCTAAACCCTAAACCCTAAACCCTAAATTCGGCGGCTTAGGTTTTTTGCGGTTTAAGGTTGAGATCTCAGCAGAGTGCAGCGCTGCTTCATATCGACCTCCTTCTTTAGGGTTTAGGGTTTAGGGTTTAGGGTTTATGTGCATGCCTGCACTCGAAACCCTAAGCCCTACAAGCCTAAGCCCTCTAAACCCTAAACCACCAGCCCTCTAAACACGAGCCCTACCCATAGGCTCCATGGTAGTTCCTTTTTGTCGCTTATATTTAGGATCCTATTAGGTAATCCCAAAAAGGAGCTACTATGGGGCCTATGGGAACACCCTGCACTCTAAGCCCTGAATAGGAGCCCTGAGCCCTAAACCCTAAGCCCTAAACCATAGGAGCCAAGAGCTGAGGTGTATTCCGTGTCCATCTGCTGCCAGGTTGGGGCGCTGGCGGAGGCCGTGGGCAGATTGGCTACAGAGCCACGGTTTAGGTTTTGGGGGTTTAGGGGGTTTAGGGGGTTTAGGGGGTTTAGGGGTGGGGCTTTAGGGTTCAGGGTTGCGCGGTTGCTCGAAAGTCGGTAGATATCGTCACAACCCACAAGATGTTTTAGTCCCTCCCAAAATGATATCCAATAGCCGCACTGCGGATCTGCATATAATATGCAACCGAACCCCATGCTACTGTTTTAAGGCCCCTGTATTAAAAGGCCATTGGCTAGCAGCTGCATCGGCAAACCAGCTGCATCGGCAAACCAGAGTTTTGAAATGGGGATCCCAATAGAGTGGCAGCATCCTTGCAGTTATGTCATTTAATAGTACCGTTCGTTCTTTAAAGAAAGCTCCAACAGTTCTGTTCGAAAAATGGTGACATGTGTATGATCCCTAACTGTCCCACTTGTGATGACTCCACGTCGTGGGACCTTATGTCAATGGAGGGATGCAGGCCTCAATCGCAGGTGTTTCAGTCGCAGAATGTGAGGTGCCTTTGGGGGTCTACGTGTGTACCTTCAGTGCTGGAGGTGGTTTACGGTCGAGAGTTCAAGGCACATCGCAGCAAAAGCGTTTCCTGAGCATGGCCCTGCGACTTTGCAGCTGCAACATCAAGAGAGCGCCTGGCTAACCCCAAACCCTAAACCCTAAACCCTAAACCCTAAACCCTAAACCCTAACAGCAACATCGGAACATCGGAGAGCGCCTAGCTTACACCGCCTTCAGGCCCGATAGAAGCCGGATAAAGGCTGCAAGACCAAAGTGACATCTTGAGCCAACTTCTTTGCTTTAGGGTTTAGGGTTTAGGGTTTAGGGTTTCCTAAATCCTAAGACCTAACTTGAAACCCTACCTCAGCTCGGAAGGTTCTGGACATCTCCCGCAACCTCTTCTCCAATTTTCGGGTTCGTGCCGCTTCTTGGCTCGGACAGGGAGGTTTGGGCAAGATTTGTACTCGTAATGCTCTCTCTTTATAGTTCCCTTGTGGCTGTATTAGGGTTCAGGGTTTAGGGTT